TCTTTCCATCTCTATGAATAAGCCGTTTGGTGAGACATGTTGGAGTTGGAGGAGCCTGAGTGTGTTTACAGCATGTTTTGACTTCGGGAATAAACATTGTCCAGCTTGTGATATCAGTCGTTTTTGCTACAATTGTTTTGGTGTCAAAATGCATAGGAGTACTTACATTTCCCAGGAGCACACACTGCCTTTACAGTTTTTTAATAAATGTTAGCGCATGCAGCAAGTATTGGGCCTCATTCACACTGCCGCGCATATATGCGCGTATTGTACCATATGCAGCATATGCAAATAAATAGGCCCATACACATAGCTGCGTATGGAGCTATATATTTGCACAGCGTAAAAATGCGCAAACACAGAATGGAACTGAGATGCGTCCGGGCAGCGTATGTCTGTGTACTTTACGTGCATATGCGCGTGTTAGCGCACGTATACAGTTCATTAAAATTTCATTTACGAATGATGCATTCTGGGATTGCATATAGTGCATGCATGTACGCACGTACATACGCGCATGTACACGTATATACGCAATATACAATTTTGCTCTTGCATTGTGTGTGAATGAGGACTTAGAGCAACACCGCTGGTGTGCAATGCTGGCTGCATTTAGGGTAGATTACCAAGATGCAACTAAACATGTTTGTTGGCTTGATGGTGTGTATTATCTCTGGATTCCTCTGAGCTTTCATTGTAGAGCCTTAAGCTGCCCACACACCTTACAATTTATCTGCAGATTTTCTATGGTCAGATGGAAAAGGTGCAACAGATTCCTCCATCTACACTTAACTGTGTATGAAGTAATCTCCACCTGGGCCAATCTGTTGCACTTTTTCCATCTGACCACAGAAAATCTACAGATAAATTGTAAGGTGTGTGGGCAGCTTTACATGCTCCAGTTCTATAGGTGCCCACTGAATGACACAGTACTTAGTTTAAAGATATTGCTTTGATGGTCTAAGTGGAAGGGTCTGGTTGCTATAGTCAAATGATTAGATTAAATTGTATTTCCATGTTTGCAGACAACTTGGAGAAAACCCCTCTATATGTTTTGTGTTCCTAATTGCACAGCATCTCTAATAATTTTAAAAACACATTTCTTACCTTTTAAAAGAGTCTATGCAGCTGGCCCTTGGAGCTTCTCTGTACAATTTCAAAGTGATGGGAAACTGTCTGTCCCTATTAGGAAATTAGTGGAAATCTCCCTATCAGAACAAAATGTCATGGAAAATCTTTCCAACAGGGAACCAGAGAAAACCAAACATTTTTACTTGTGTATGTCGCCACACCCTAGACTACACTCTGGGTCTATAATTTGCAGGCTAGGACAGTTATAGAAGCCAAACACAGAGTGCCAAAGATAAAGCAAAGATTAATATTCATTTTCTGCTGAAGATTTCTATGTGCCTAATGATATCCCTGACACTTGCTTTTAAATATTGCATAGCACTAGGAATGAGCTTCAGGTCAACCAGGAATTCAAACTGAACTCTAGTCCTTTGCCATTTAGAAAAATGGCGAACAAAAGTAATCTTATGACTAGTGATGGGCAGAACACCCCCGTGTTCGGTTCGTATTCGAATACCCGAACAGCCGAAAAGTTTGAATACGTACTCGAACCTAATGCAAGGCAATGGGGTAGAACTTTCGAAAATGATTGTCCCGTTTAAGAGTGCGTATATGCAAGTTATTGGCCATAAAAGGTGTATGGGGGTCTGGGTATTGCCCTGGGGGACAGGAATCAATGAAAAAAACAAACAAAAAAAATACAGTTTTTACAGGAGCAGTGATTTTAACATCACTTGAAGGCTAGAAATAAAAATGAAAAATTCTTTTAAATATCGTGCCTGGGGGATCCCCTTAACCTGCCTGTAAAGTGGCGGATCTGTAGGATGTATAGAACCTGCTGCAGCAAAATTGAAATTTTTAAAATCAGACATTTTTTTGGGTACTCTTAAAGGAGAACTATGGGGTTAAGTCTTTTCCCCATAGTTCTCCTTAGGGTAACGGGAGGACACAAATTAGCGTCCTCCCGTCACCCTAGGCTCAGTATACCGCGAGCTGCAGCTCGCGGTATACTGAGAAGCCGTAGTATACCGTGATCTACTGCTCGCGGTATACTGAGACGCCGCAGCTGAAGCGGATCCCGACAATTATGTCTGGATCCGCCCAGCTGCGTGACTGACAGCTGGCTCTGCCTATCTAGAGGCAGAGCCAGCTGTACCCTCCCCTGTCCGTTCCGCCAGTCAGCCCTTGCGGATCGGAGCGGGGGGAATCCAGCCCCTCCCCTGTCACGGCAGAGAGCCATGACAGGATCGAGTGGTGAGCGAACCTCCGGTATGTGTTCGCTCACCTCCCGATCTACTGAGCCGACCTGTGACAGTCTCATTGTCACAGGTTGGCTAAAACTATGAGGTGAGTGAAAAGCACTCACCTCGTAGTTCTCCTTTTTAAAGTGTGCAGTTCCCCCTCTGAAAGAATACCAGACCTTTAAGGTCTGGCAGGAATGTTATGTCGCCCATGAAATGGCATAATAAGGAGGACCCTCTCACTGCCTAAATTTTTTTTGCCCCTCATGACAATGTTCAACTATCCATGCCCGTTGTTTTAAAGTACATTGCCTATTCGCTTTGAGAACTGCCAGAATTTAGATTGACCTCCATTTGACTTGAGATTGGATTCAATTGCACAACTTCTGATATTTATGATGAGCTTGACGAATGGTCTGTGAGTCAAACCCAGGCACATTCGCATATAACTATAAAGCACATTACTGTATAACAAATACGTGACTATAAGCACAACTAGTTCAGCATAGATTTGGTAGTTCACCAAAGTTGACAGTAAAATAAATCATATGTCCCATGTTTGTGAAGTTTAATAATAATGATGAAAATGACAATGGCAGGATGAGTCTGTTCAGCAATATGGACTCTTTAAAAATCTAAATTGGTAATTGACATTACGTTTTTAAAATGCAGCTTCTTTCAGTTTATTACAATATTGTTAATATATCTGAAAACAAAAACAATCCACACTATACATTAAGGTCTAGATTTAAAATGACGTGTCAGTTTGCCCTCTTTAGGGTCCATTTTCTGTTGCTTTTTGTTGCTTACTTTCCCCATTTAAAAAAAAAAAACGACATACTGTAGTGCTCTGCTAAAGTAAACTGTGATTAAACTGCCATCTAGTGTTTTATTAGCTAAAGTGCATTTATCATCCCAAGAAAATACAGTACATTGTGTGTGTATATATATATATATATATATATATATATATATATATATATATATATATATATATATATATATATATATATATATATATATATATATATATATATATATATATATATATATACATACATACATACATACATACATACATACATACATACGTCTTTTTATATTTACAAAAACTACTCATATGGTATAACTGTTTTAAAGTACATTGATTCCCTTTCATGTATAATACTGTGTTTTACCACAGTTTTTTAAAATCATATTTTAGTTCTGTGATCCTAACAAATATTGGTTTTAAGGGTCTGTATGTTTTAACACTAAAAGGACAGAGCTATTATGTACATACATTTTCTCATTCCCTCTTTTGATCCAATTACTACTTTTAACCCCTTCATGACTGAGCTTGTTTTTCGTTTCTGTTCGTAAATGACTGACACACTTTTGACATTTTTGTGTGATTCTTCCACGTCGGTAATATACTTTCTTACAAAGTGCACCCACACATATTCTATATTGTTTTTTAGAGGTTAGATAGGGCTATATATTTATATCACATATGTGTGTCTAACGCCTCACTTAGGACAAATAAAATATTAAAAAAAGTTAAAAAAACACTTTTTTCCCAGTTTTGATTAGTAGTATTTTTTTTACAAAACCAGCACAGATAAAAAAAAAATGCAATACATTCATTTATTTGTCCCTTATTTTTATTTTTTTTAACACATTTTTTTTTTTTTTTACACTTCACTTTTTTTAAACTTAAAAATGTTATTTATTTAATTATATCAAGCAGTCATTGTGAATTAATCTCACTGCTTGATAAATTAATAAATGTATTATTTATTAATTTATCAAGCAGGCTGGTTATTATCAGGCTGCTTCAGAACAGCCAATAATAAGTTAGTTACACTGATCCTGCAGCAGTTCAGGATTCAGCTGTCACTAAAGGTTTTCTGATTGTTGCAACAACGATCAGCAAACTGAAACATTCTCCTTTCACCAATAGATACATTATGTACCTATTGGTGAAAGAAAAAAAAAAAAAAGCCAGTATAGATTGAGAGAGCTTTTGCCGGCATGTGTGTCCCTCTGCTTCTGTCTCTCGGACACCCGATATTAAGGTATCGGGTGTCTGAAAAAGGTTAACCCTTTCATTAATGAATGCCTCTGTAGTAAGGGCATCCATTAATGAATGTTAAAAGCTGATTCCCAGCGGTTAACAGCCCTCTAAAGCAGCAAATAACTTGTCACGTACAGTGTACGTGACGAGTCATTTGGTCCCTTTGTGGCTGCACGTACAGTGTACGTCTCCCGTCACGAAGGGGGTTAAAGGTCCTAAAAGACCATAGATCATGTAACTTCTTTTTTTTTTTGCTGGCTAATATATTCTTCTTATTCATTTTTTTTAACTGCATGCTGCAAGTTTGGTTAATTCTATTTCTGCTTAAGTCTGTGGAGATAGGTTTTAAATACAATGGGTGATTTCATTTCTGTAATAACCACTTAAACATGGAGTGTAAACTCAAGATTTTTTTTTTAAAACTTGCATATCACTTAATATATTAATGATGATTTTTTTTTATAGTGTTTAAATCATAATTTTTTTTGTGTGCTGTCTAAAAACAAGCATGCATGTGCACATACTTCTGGTGTGAACAAATGTAATAGCAGATAATTTTAAAGTATCTCTATTTTGTGAACACACAGTATATGTGAAGATGAATACTAACAGCTTTCTTTTTCAATTTGTAGTTGAGCAGACCGAGCCTGCCAAAGTGACAATGAATGGAGAACAGGAGGAAAATATGGAGGTCGCTCCTAGTGATTCCGCTTCAAAAGAGAACACAAAGGAAGATGGCCAAGCCGAGATATCCGAAATTAATGATACAACACCAGTGTCTGAAGAAAAAGAGTCTCCAGAAGAATCAAATGAAAGCCAATCCAATGAAGTGGGGTTCAAAAAAGTGTTTAAATTCGTTGGATTTAAATTCACAGTAAAAAAAGAGAAGACTGAAAAATCAGAACCTGTACAACTTTTAACTGTGAAAAAAGATGAAGCTGAAGTCAATGGCACAACCAGTGAAGAGCATATTGATGCTGAAGCTGAAGGCAAGACACAGCAGGAAACCAAAGATGATGTTCAGCAAGCAGAAAGTCCAAATGGGGCTCCACAGGCTGTAGAAAGTCCAGCTGAAGTACCTGAGGAGGCACAAAAGGATGAACTAACAGAGGCACAAAAGAAAATAGAAGAACCAGAAGTGGAAAAAGATAAAAAGTCTCCAGAGTCTCCAACAAACACAGTTGTCTCTGAAACCTCTTCCCCTTTTAGGAGATTTTTTACACAAGGATGGGCAGGACTGAGGAAAAAGACAAGTTTCAGAAAATCAAAGGAAGAAGACCCTCAAGAAGTAGAGAAACACATCAAAGGTGAAGAACAAGAAAAGACTGACACACCAGAGGCTGTAAAAGAGGAGGGTGAATCTGTAACAGAAACTATTGAAGAAAAGCCAGTACCAGAAGAATCAAGTAAATCTGCAAGTGACGAACCAAAGTCCTCTAATGAGGAAGAGTCTCAGATCTCTCCACAAGAAACCAAAGCAGAGAAAGCACCATGTGCCCAACCAGAAGACCAAGAATCAGAAGAGACTGTGAAAACAGATGAGGGTATAGTGCAGGTAACAGAAGAAAAAGAAAGTGTAACTGAAATTGTTACATCTGCATTAAGTGTCTCAAATGAAGTAAAGGCTGAAACTGATGGCTTGGAAATTCAATCTGAGAAACAAATAACAGAAGAACTATGTCCACCATCTGTTGAAGTAACAAATGAATCAGAGTCAGAGGTAGCACCCGAAACAGAAGTACCTGCAAGCCAGCAGTCTGAGTTGCAGTCCAGTACTGAAAGTGCTGACCTGGAAAAAGGCCAAGAAGCAATTACAACAGAAGCTGAACTGTTATCCTCTCAAGAGAAAGTTAAAGCTCAAGCCAGTCCTTTAAAAAAGCTTTTCAGCAGTTCCGGGCTAAGGAAGCTTTCAGGAAAGAAAGGAAAAGTAAAGAAAGACCATGATGCTAAGGTGGACATGACAGCAGAAACTGCACCTGCTTCATCAGAGTCACCAGAGGCTGCAGACGTAGATGGTGAAGATAGCTCACCCTCCTCTCCTGATGAGTCAGCAGAGACTTCACCAACAGAGAAACCAGTAGAGGAAGAACCACAAGCAGCAGATGTAGAAGGTGAAGGAGCAACATCTGATGGCGAAAGAAAAAAAGATGGGATTACACCATGGGCCTCTTTTAAAAAGCTTGTCACACCAAAACGACGCCCAAAGAGATCATCTGAAAGTGATAAGGAGGAGGAGGTTGAAAAAGTAAAAACCTCAACTATGTCCTCTACGGATAGTGGGGGTTCCATTGAAAATCAGGAAGAAACCAAAGAAACCAGTGAAGAACAAAAGCTTGAAAAAAGCACAGAAGAAAATAAAAAGAAAGCTGACAGTTCAGTTTCATGGGATGCCTTAATATGTGTTGGCTCTTCAAAAAAACGAGCCAGAAAAACATCAGATTCAGATGAGGAGGAAATTCAGAAATCTCAGGAGGAATGCAAGAAAAATGATGGAGAAACAGTACAAACTAAAGAACCTGAATCTGAAAGTCCCATCACAAGTTCACAAGAGCAACAAGTTCAAGAAAGCCCATCACCAGATCAGGCTAGTAGCCCTACAGAAGGAGATGGAGTATCTACTTGGCAATCTTTTAAAAGACTAGTTACACCCAGACGAAAATCAAAAACTAAAGCAGAAGATAAACCTGAAGAAACTGTTGTAGTATCCAATCAAGAACAGTCTACCTCAGAGGGTGAAGGCAGCAAAGAAGAATCTTGGGTATCGTTTAAAAAGTTAATGCCTGGGAGAAGGAAGAAAAGATCAGATGCCAAACAGGAGCAGGCTCCCCCCAGTGCTGATCAACCAGTACATGAAAGTGCTGAAGATGACTCTGATGAACCTGCAGTAGTTCCTTTGGCAGAGTTTGATGCAGCTGAGCTAGAAAAACTGAATGCCCAGAAGTCTATTGTAGTATCAAGTCCTGCTAATGTTTCAGGTGAGCAAAAAGAGTCACTTGAGAAATCCAGTGATGAACTTGTTCAAGCAGTTACAGTGACTTTAATAGAGGGAGAAAGGGCAGTCACTAGTCTTGAAGAAAGATCTCCATCCTGGATTAGTGCAAAGGTTACTGAGACTATTGAGCATGCAAAAGAAGTGGAAGAAACCATTGAAAAAATTAAAACTGAAATTACTGTTGAAGAAAGTGTGGTGTTTAGCACCGTTTCACAAGTTATGTCAGAAACACAAAGTACTTTACTTAATGAAGTTGAATTAACTTCAGAAGCTTTGACTGCTCTGGAAGAGGCAATAGAAACATCATGCGCAGAAGAGACTACTGAAATGCTGTCTGCTGTTTCACAATTAGGTGAATCGGCTATGTCTACTGAGCAAGCTACACCGGTGCCAGAAGATGATGCAAGTGTGCAAACTCTGCAAGAACAGAAGCAGCTCACTGATCATATATTACATGCTGTTGCAGAAAGTGCAAAACTCTCCTTCGATGTTCTAAACTCAGAAAATGTTAATGTCTCACCAATCATTGAGGATAATTTACAGGAAACAAACATGGAACAGAGGGCTACTATTTTGACTAAAGACATTTTTGCTGAATTTGTAGAGGAGCAAAAGCTTGCCTCCACTGTAGTGGAAGAACACATTGAGAAAGTTATCATTACTGTTACAGAGAAAGTGATTGAATGCATCCCAACTTTAGTTGAAACTGTTAAGTCTGAGGAAAAAGTTAGTGAGTCTACTGTGGAGCAAACAAATACCATTGCTGAAGATGAATCTATGCCAGAGAAGCCCAGTGAAAGTTTCTGTGTTTCTCCTTATGACCAGGATACAAAAGCTGCCTCCATATTAGCTGAAGACAACACTGACAAACCTGTTTCATATGCAGCCCTTGAGAAATTAGGTGAAGATTTACAAAATTCTGTTGTCCGAGTGATAGAAGAATCTTTTGACAGTGGTGAGAAAAACATAGGGAAATTTGCTTCTAGTTTTGTTTCTCTTTCAGCGAAGGAAACTCCTGTTGATGTTTCAACTGCAGTTAACTCTGGTGCAGATGTTGAAATTTCATTTGGGGACCAGTTGCATGCTGATGAAAATACCCCCTTGTCACTTAATATACAATCTGTAGAATGTGTATCAGTGCCTACTGAAGTAAGTGCCCCACTCTCATCTGAAATAGAAGCTCAAGAAAGTTTTATTATTTCATCTGAGCTGCAGGAAAATGCAGGTCTTGCATTAGATGTGAAGCATGTTGAAGAATCTGCTCCTATATCAGCTGAGCTACAACCTAAAAATGTTGCTCCCATGTCACTTGTGTTTGATGCGCAGAATGAAGAAGTTGTTGCAGTGGCTACTGAGGTGACAGCTCAAGAAAGTGCCCCTGTGGCAGATGAAGTAGAAGTTGAAAAAAAATCTCCTTTGACAGTTGAAATGCAAGCTGAAGAAAGTTCTCTTGTTGCAACTGAGGTGCAAGCTGAAGAATGTGCTCCTGTGGCTCTTGAGGTGCAAGCTAAAGAAGAAAGTGTTCTGGTGCTGTCTGAGGAACAAGCTAAAGAAGGTGCATATGTGCTATCTCAGCTGAAAGATGAAGAAAGTTCTTCTGTCCCAGCTGAGTTAAAAGCTGAAGAAAGTGACACTGTGCAACCTGAGGCACAGACAGAAGAAAGTGCTCCAGTGCCAGCTGAGTTGAAGGGTGAAGAAAGTGATGCTCTGTCATCTGAGGTACAGACAAAAGAAGACGCTCCTGTGCTAGCTGAGGTGAAGGCTCAAGAAAGTGATGCTGTGCCACATGAGATGCAAGCTGAAGAAAGTTCCCCTGTGCCACCTGAGGTAAAAGCAAAAGAAGGCACCCCTGTGCCGCCTGAGCTACAGACAGAAGAAAGTGATCCAGTGTTAGCTGAGTTGGAGGCTGAAGAAAGTGATGCTATGCCATCTGAGGTACAGACAGAAGAAGACGCTCCTGTTCTAGCTGAGGTGAAGGCTCAAGAAAGTGATGTGGTGTCACATGAGATGCAAGCTGAAGAAAGTGCTCCTGTGCCCCCTGAGGTGCAGGTTAAGGAAGCTGATCCTGTGCTATCTGCAGTACAGGTTCAAGATGATGTCCTTGTGCCATCTGAGGTACAGGTTGTAGAAGCTGTTCCTTTGCCACATGAGGTGCAGGTTGAAAAAGCTGCTGCTGTGTCATCTGAGGTGCAAGCTGAAGAAAAAGCTCCTGTGCCACCTGAGATAGAGGATAAAGAATTTGTTCCTGTGCAACCTGAGGTGCAGATTGAAGAAGCTGCTCCAGTTCTATCTGAAATGAAGATTGAAGAAGCTGCTCCTGTGCCTTCTGAGGTGCAGGCGGATGAAGCTGCTCCTGTGCCTTCTGAAGTGCAGGCGGATGAAGCTGCTCCTGTGCCTTCTGAGGTGCAGGCGGATGAAGCTGCTCCTGTGCCTTCTGAGGTGCAGGCGGATGAAGCTGCTCCTGTGCCTTCTGAGGTGCAGGCGGATGAACCTGCTCCTGCGCCATCTGAGGTGCAGGCTGAAGAATCTGCTCTTGTACTCCCTGAGGTTAAGACTGAAGAAACTGCGTGTGTGCCAACTGAAGTTCAGGATGCAAGGGATGTTACTGTGACAGCTGAGATGCAATCTGAAGAAGATCTGCTGGCTGAGTTTCAAGCTAAAGAAAGTGTTCCTGTGTTGAATGAGCCTTTTGCTGAAGGTTTTCCTGTGCCTTCTGAGGTTCAGGCTGATGCAGTTATGCTTGTGCCTACTGGGGTGCAGGCTACAGAAGATGTTAAGGTGACAGATGAGGTGCAGGCTGAGGAATGTGCTCCTTTGTTAGCTGAAGAAAATGTATCTCTTCTTACTGAAGTCCAGGCTGAACAAGATGGCCCTGTGTCAGCTGAGGTGACTGCTGAAGATGTCCCTGTGTCCGCTGAGTTTAAAGCCCAAGAAAGTGAATCTGTTTCCAAGGAAGAGAAGGAAGAGTGTACTCCCTTGTCAAGTGAAGTGAAGATTGAAGAAGTTGCCCCTGTTTTGCCTGCGGAACAGACTGAAGATTTTTCTGTATCAACCAAACTGCAAGTCGATGAAAGTACCCCTGTATGTGCTGAAGGTCAGGCTAAAGAAGCCATTTCTTTGTCAGATAAAATTGAAATTGAAGAAAGTACTCCTGGATTAGTTGAAGGACTGGCTAAAGAAGTGATAGCTGAGGAGCAGGCTAAAGGAGAAGAGTTGGCTAAAGAAAATGTTCCTGTTTCAGCTGAGGAGCAGGCTAATGAAGATGTTTCTATTTCAAGTGATGCACAGGCTGAAGGAGATGTCTCTTTTTTTGCTGCGGTGCAAAGGAAACTCCCGGTATTAGACCTGGGGCAGATTGAGGAAGGTGTAGCTACATCAGCTGAAGAAAAGGCTAAGAAGGATGTTGTGTCAGATCAATTGCAGGTTCATGAATGTGTTTCTGATGTGCAGACAGAGAAGGGTGAACCAGTTGAAGAATGCATCTTAGTAAGTGACACAGAGAGAGTCATTACTGTTATGGATGATCATTTAGAAAGTACTGGTACTGCGAGCAAACCTGTCAATGTTAAAAATTCACAAGCTCCAGATGAGGAAACAAAAGAGTCGGGAGAATTTAAAGTTGAACAAGATGAAGATAAAGGGGACTCTGGGTCTCTAAATAATGCAGTTGATCAGTTACCACTGTTTCAAGAAGTAAAGGAGGAAATAATTACGACTGACATTCCAGAATGTAAACTCTCAGAGGCTAGCAAAGCATCTGATGCAGTTACAGCTGCCGCAGTGGAAGAAAAGCTTTTGTCAGAGACCGTTAAACCTATGGAAACATCATCAGATTGCATACAGCTTACTGAAGAGCCCAACCTTAATCTACAATCAAAAGACCATGCAGAAAAGCCAGAGGAGAGTAAGACTCTAGTGGCCTCTGTTTCTCAAAAGGCTGCGGCTATTGTAGATGCTGCAATTGAAGCAGCAGCAAATTGTTTTGTGGTGGATGCAAGCAGCCAAGGTGTAACTACTGAAGAAAAACATCAAACAGAAGAAACTATTGTAGAAACCAATAACACTAAATGCAGTAGTACCACTACTGTGCGCATTACAAGTAAGACGACAGTGGAAAAAGTTACAGTAATATTTCATAATAATGAATGCGTCAGCACTGAAAGACAGAATCAGGAAGATGAGTTTGTTTCCCAAGTTCAAGAACCTGTACCAGTACACAATCCCATAGATACTCTTAGTAGTTCAGCACAAACCAAAGGAAATGAAACAGGTGATGAAAATAAACCAACAACCCAAGAGTGTGTCTTTATTCCATCTACTGATTTGGTAGACCAAGAATCAGCAAAAACCACATCTAATGTGGAAGAAGAAAACAAGCCCTCACCTATCAGCATTCAGGAAGATATTCATAAAACATCCATCCAGACAGATTCTTCTACTACAATTCCCCAAGAAAAGGCCCAGCCTGTGGAATCCTGAAGTCAAATGTAAGTTAAGAGTGCAGAAATACATTTATCGCATATCTGGAAGTTCCTGGGAGATCTGTACTGAGAGAAGGATCTATGATGCCACTTCTGATCTACTTATTAAAATGCTGGTTGCCTTTACACCACTGGCTTTAATACTTTGTGATTTACTGACCAGGAGTAAGCATGTAGCAACTCCGTATGAAGTTAGATATCCTGATTTTCATGCTTGTTCCTAGTCATTACTTATAACAACCAGTCAGAATTTTTAGAAGGAGAGGTCAGCAATGGCAGCCTACACATTCGCTCAATACAGATTTGCTTTTAATCAACTTTTTAGCTCCAGTGCAGTGATGTTAACCTGAATATGCTTTTCAGAAGTATTGTATTATATGCATTAATTTATGTCTCATTTAGGGCAAAATGACATTGTCTCTGTAAAGGTCCCCTCTGCCAGTGCTCCTTTGCTATTTCTGCTTCTATCAAGCCAGCCCTAGTATCAGCTAGTGTCAAGGGTGCTGGTGCCACCAGGGAAACAGTGACTTCACTCTGTCAGTCAGGTGACAGTGCTTAGGCCTAGCAATTGGCTGCTATAACCAAACACTGTAACGGGGAAAAGATCACACGCACCCCATAGCCAGAAGCACTGTATACTGTTGCTAACTGCAACAAAGCA